ACTCATTTTGTGTTATAAACGACACATTGTTTATTCATAATCCTCTCTGACTACAAGTGTTGTGAGGACGGCCTACGGGTGAACTCGAAAGAGCTCAGAAAGAGTCGAAAATATTCCATCCAATCATCTTTTGGAAGAATAAATACCTGACAGTTTTGTACCATAATTGACATTGTCTTCTGTCTTCTCATTTGCGACTTGGAGGGTTCTAGTCTTCGAATGCTCTAGTTGTACGTGGTATAATAAGGATCCAAGCTTCTAGATATAAGAGTTCTAAAAGTGTTTATTTCTATTACACCATGACGTCGGTAAGAGATACAATAGGGTAATTATAATACCTGTTTCCTAGTTAAGTAATCCCTTGTCCTATTTACTTAAAAATAAGTAGTTCTTATGGGAAATCGATAAGTTCTGCTGGAAATCCTATTATGCATATGGTTGCTGTGGAAATTAAGGAATGGAAGCAATCACCTTGTATCGTCTTAAATGACACTTATAAAATCTCATATTATGCATATCGCCCATCCCCCAGCAAAAATACCCAGAGTAGGACATGATTTACCATGAAATCTAACAGTGGAAATTGTTAGCTAAGTTGAGTTTGGAAACTTAATTAGAAAGCATTGTATGTCGCCAAACTATTTCATTGTATTATAAAAAGAGAAATATATGAGATACCCAAAGCTATGATGGAAAAATATATTAGTAAGATCAACCTTTTGAATTGTAATTTGGATATCGGTATATGGTTTACTTCATTGTATAGTCTTAGTTAAGGACATGATTTTGTCGAAAACAACTTATTGTTTAGAATAGTCGGAAGTAGCCAGGATGATACTCTAAACCTGTTTTTCCTATCACCTGATACTCGTTAGCAAGGTGTACCTAGAATTTACGCTTTCTGTGTGTCATCTATTTTCGAAATCGGAGACATTATCACGGAGCTATTTAGGTTGCGACTGATCTCTCATAGGACAGACATTTATTACTGATTAGTCTCTAAATAGTGACCAATATATTGTTTGTCAGTTCCTTACTAGTGATGAAATTCTATCAATTAAATTGAAATTCATCCACTAATCTAATTGACTCAATTATTGAGAGCCCTGTTTTTTTTTCATGTTAGATAGTTAAAAGTAGTCAGTAAAAAGTCGTAAAACTAAAGGATTACACAAATATTGATGTTAATTACAACTTAGTGATCATTCCAATGGCAAAAATAATTTCACTAACTGAAAATATTTCAACCAAGATTGAATATTGATTACATCCCCCAACCTGTCTCATTGCTATCTTTCCAATACAATATTAGTAGTATATAATCAGTTCGATGTGTTTTCTTTCAACTCAACTATTATAATATGTATATTGAATCAACAGAGAAAATTGTTAGATCTCAAGATATAGATTTATTTGTGTATATGTATATTTGCTCGTCAAATGTTTGATTGTTACTATGGTAGAACAGCTGTCCAGATGTCAACTACAGGTAAATACATCTTCTCCTACGGGGGTTCATAGTTATTTTTTTTTTAATGGTTTATATGATGTCAAGTTAAAATATTGATCTTGTTTGATTAGTTATTATCCGATAGGTGTAGATACGAAGTACATAATAAAAGAAAACAATACAGATTCTCTATTATATTTGTATGTTGAGAGATACGAACTAAGAAAATCTGTCAATATACATATTATTTGATTGTATGCTGTTTACATTTCCAATGGGCTATTCACCCTTATTCACACTATTAATATATCAGTCAGTCAGTAACAACATAGAACTTCATATCTACGTACATCATTCCGAGTTGTCATACCACATTAGAACAGAGACATGAAGAATTCAGAAGATTAGAATTTTGGAGAACATAAAGAGTAGATGCACCTGTGTCATTACAAGCGATTTCGAGCCAATGTCATTCAAGATCTCTAACCATCGGTTTCTATCATCTCACGGATCCCAACCAGGTAGTCTACACCGATCTATTAATATATACTTGAAAGTTACTGTTATATCCTTTATTATGATTGAAAATAAGTGCAACATTAAGATAATTCAGTATATTTGTAATTTACTAACTGGTAGCTAAATCCTAGCCATTTTATACATGTGAGCACAACCATCTGTATTCCAATGTTCAGTATAATTGCAATAACTAACATTTTCGAACATCATTTCGTTATTACTATACATAAGAGTGTAATCTTTCATTGCAGATTTCATTTCAATCATCTAAAACGATCTACATAAGTCTTCCATGAACATGCCATTGTAATGAATCTCATCTTGTTGAATTGAACACAAAAACATGGACAATTACAGTTTGGAATGAAATTTTCATAGAGACAAATATGCTTTCATCATATGCAACATACAGCTACTAATTGGATGGCAAATTACTAGAGAATCCCTGATACCTGATATATATTGAACACTGAGTAACTGATGAGCTATAAATTCACGGACACATATACTATCCCCCTCATATATTATGTAGCCGTTCAGTTGATGCATGAAGACATATATACACACACGAACATACAATAATTTAGGATTACAATATCAACTAACTGCTCGTTATTATCAAAAGCGTAATTTTCACTCTTTTTTTATGATTTGATTGTTAACAGGTGGGAGTTATTGTTTTCTTGAAATATCAGTATCAAAGGCAAATGGACACTGACTAATAGTCCTAGTGTGGTGTGTGCTACTAATGTCGACTGATATAAGTAGTATGTATCACCAATCGAAAGTGGAATGCCTGGTGGCAGAAGGTTGAAAAGATCAAAGAGAACAGAATGAGGACAGAGAGTGATTGATATGGAAATAAATGAATAATAAAGTCTGAGACAATTGATAGACATTTTACAAATGAATTATTTACTGTATGGTTCTCGTTCACTACACTAATACTTAACATCAGTGTGTGTTTAGTTTTATAAGAACTTTTCGTGAATCTTTCAAATCTCTATAAAGTTCACTTCAAAATAAAGTGAGATATAGATTGGTCTATCGTTTGAGTTAGATAAAACGAGGTCTATTTTTCTTTTGTTGGCGTTCCAATCTACAATCGTATGTTGAAGTGAATATCGGCTATTTATGTGGTAAGTGTATGTTTCAAACCACTTTAACTGAATAATATTAGACTACTTCGTAATTGTACAGTTATATAAAAATAATACTATAGTGATACTTATGATTTGTTATATGCATACATATACTGCTTCTTTATAACATCCATATTCACCAGTGATATCCAAGACGAACTAAGCAGAGTGGCAAATTCAGGGCTGTTTTTGACTACCGCTAGTTAAAAACCTCCAATATTCCTCGTAATACTAACTAACTGATGATATTATGTTCCCATACTTTGAATTCCTACAGCCCAAGTAGCCACCAGTAAAGAAGACTTCTTAAATATCATTTCTCAAATGACAGAAATAAGGAAGAGATAGAAATAATCATTCTGAGACGATACTCTGTGATAAATTGTGATATAACTATTAAAGGCGAATCTTAATTTCTTCAAACTCTTCGTGAAGAAAATGCAAGTACTGTCATATCTTTGTTAAAACCATGTTGATATTCCCCAGAATCTGGATTGTGTAGATAAGGGGAATATAACAGATGTGAATTGGGAAAGAATATATGTCTGTTTACTTGTTACTCAGTAGTCAATATGTATGCAACACTTAACACTGTTCCACTCAGTTAATAAGTCGATCTTACATTTAAAATCATAATTCTCTCACTGAGAATTTTATTCCAAACTCTGATTGTCAATGTATTTCTTTTTAATAGTAGAAACCATAAGTCAATTGAAGCTAGACCACCATGGAAAACCTGGAATCACTGGACGGCCATTTCGTTCTATTATGGGACTCCTGAACAGTATGCATCCACGATCCCGCCTAGCGAGACTCAAACCCAAGAACTATCAGTTTCGCGCGCGAGCATTAACCTCTAGATCACTGAATCGGCATCCAACGGCGTTAATGTCAAACTTTAACCAATCCACGAAATTGCGCCACCGTTCACCATTATCTTCAGTGAGTATTTCATTTATTTATTTTAACACATAGATATTGGTACAAGGAGGCACCAAATACATATGAGCCACACAAACCTCATTTGATTTGTATGAGGGCTGTGATACTGCCCGAGTGCCAAAACCGAAGCAGGTGGTTTTCTTAGAGCGCCACACCCAGAGTCTTCGACCTGAAGATCTGATCCACGAGGCAGTGGAGCATCGTAAGGATATGCATTCCCATGGTAACCAGTGACCAACGATTGGTTCGCACTCCATTTGTTCCCTCAGGATACTGAAGACCATGTGGACCATTGGTTTGGAATGAGGGTTTTGCAACTCCCCTAGGTGGACTCTCCATATCCACCAACCCGGTTAAGCGTCAGACATTCGCTTTTCATCCTCTCAGTTTCGTAAACAACACCCCTGCCACGAGAAGACAGTGAGTAAGACTTCCCTGGCAGAGGCTGTATACGCGTGGCCATGTGAGAGCATTTCGAGAGGGAGGGCAGGCCTTTCCTACTCTCGGCCGTACCAGGGCATTTGTCTTCAGTGAATCTCATACTAGGATTAAAACGACCGTCCAGTGCTTCCAGGTTTTCTATGATAGTTTAGCTTCAATTAATTCATGAATTCAACTATTAAAATTATTATGATATCCACAAAACCCCTATCTGAATATTCGTTTTTGTTTTCAATTCAACAAGATAGTATAACACTACAGTTACATGTTCATGGAAGATGTATGTAGATCGTTTTAGATGATTGAAATGAAATCTCCAATGAAAAATTACACTCTTATGTATAATAGTAGTAATACACTAAATGAATGAAATAATCTTTAAAAATGTTAGTTATTACAATTATATTGAACATTAGAATACAGATTTTAATTGTTACATAGCAAATCAATTTACTTTTATTAAATAAACTTAAATAACTAATCAATATAATTCATTGGTTACTTACACCGGATTCAACAATTTTCACCATAACATCTTGTAAACTATCCGTTTTTAAACATGTCAATGGAGTTGGATAACGCTGTAATCATACATTATAAAAGAATAGAAAAAAAAAAACTGTAATATTTAATGAATTATATAGACTAATCAAATGTATTCAAGGTTTCATAAGTTTATTTGATTGGTTACGTAATAGTATTTTCTTGTTGTGTTTTTTTTTTTGATGCTAACAAACTACAATATAATCTCAATTGTTGAGATCATGAGTCAATTGAACCTAGACTACTATGAAAAATCTGGAAGCACTGGACGGTCGTTTCACCCTATTGTGTGACTCCTCAGCAATGCGCATCTACGACTCCCAACGACCCCCGTTAGACATTAAGACTGTCCGATGCTGGCTCAGTGGTCTAGTGGTTAAGTGCTCGCGTGCAAGACCATTAGGTCCTGGGTTCGAATCCCATGGGGCGGGATCTTGGATGCGCACTGCTAAGGAGTCCCACAATAGGACGAAACGACCGTCCAGTGCTTCCAGGTTTTCCATGGTGGTCTAGCTTCAATTGACTCATTATCTCAACAATTGAAATTACTAAAATTTCTACAAAGGCCCCTACTGATACAATATAATCATCAATCTAAGTAATTTGATATTTCTATAATGTTAGTTAATTGTATGCACTTGTTAATCATTTCAGATATTGATCTATACTTTATGTTAGTTGAGAGCTGTCAACTCGGACATATTTATAATCTTGGAAAAGAATGAAGCTCCTTGTGTAATTCAAGTCAATATCAGGAAATAGTATAGTCAAAAATATTACTATTAAGCTTTTGGAGTCGTGATAAACCAATTTTAAAATTAAGATATCTGGTTTAATTTATTATTGAATGTTTTTTGAGTTTATTTATTTATTTAAACACATAAACATTGGTACAAGGAGGCACCAAATAGATAAACGCCATATAAATTATTGATTTATGTGAGGGCTTGGATACTTTCCGGGTGCCTAAACCAAAACAGATGGTTTTCCTGATGGGCCACCCCGAGGTCTTCAACCTAAAGTTCTGACTCACAGTGCAGTGAAGCAACATAAGGAGATCCAGTCCCATGGTAGTCGATAACCAACGATTGGTTCATACGTCATTTGTTCCCTCAAGATCCTGGATCACATGTGAATCACTGGTTTAGAATGAGGGTTTTCTAACTCCCCTAGGTGGATTCTCCGTGTCCACCAACCCGGTTAAAGCGGCGGACATTCGCCTTTCATCCTCTCAATTTCGTAAACAACATTAATGCCACGAGAAGGCAGTGAATAAGACTTCCCAGTCAGTGGTTGTATGCACGTGGCCATGTGAGAAAATTTTTAGACATAGAGAGAGAGCTGACTCTCCTCACTCTTGGACGTACCAGGGCATTTACGGGCAAAACTGTGCCTCGCCTTGAATCGAACACTGAACCGTTTGCCTGAGAGCCAGGAATCCTAACTGCTAGAGTATACAGTATTGATCAAATTATCAACTCCATCAAGATGATTGGTAGACCCTACTGATGAGTTTCAACTACCACGAAATTTTAACCATAGAGGGGTTCTCAACACTTGCCTTCAATCACTAACATGTAGAGTTAATAAATTTAACATTAAATCACCTACAATTCAGTTGTTAACAATATAGATTGATGATCAGAATTGATTGTGTTATTTATAATATTCATCAAGAGGAAAACATATCGTTAACCTTTTTCAATAGATAATAAGAATGATTTCCGATTGATAAACTCATGGATATTATATAAATAATCTAGATAAGGATAAAGTTATATCAAACCTGATGAACACAGGTTCATTCTTATGTCAAGTCATTGGCCTGTTCCTTTGAAGAGTCACAAAAAACTACTAACAAAACACCTATTTAGTGATATATAATTTCTGATATATTTTTGCTTTGGTCAATTTCAGTCTATGATGAAAATAACTTTAAAATATGGATGAAAATCTCCATTATAAATCATATATATTACTATGAGGTTGTGAAGATTATTAAGTTTTTGATTGAGATCATGAACCGATTGATGTTAGACTATCATTGATCCCGCGAGAGGGATCGTGGATATGCACTGTTGAAAAGTCCTACAATAGGACGAAACGGTCGTCCAGTGCTTCCAGGCTTTCATTGGTGATCTAACATCAATCGTTTCATGATCTCAATCAAAAATCATATAAGTTTAATTAATAATAAACTTACATCTCGATTTAATCTACGAAATTCAAGTGCATCATATACACAAACATTCAAATTGTTATATGATCGTGTAATGGCCAAATTCTAAAATTAAACATTCAAGAATGGAATTCATTTAGTATTCGAACTAAGTGACCTAATAGTGTTTTACTAACTGCAAGATTTGAATAGTATTGTGTTGAACGAACTCATTCAATGGGGGAAGACCAATTTATTGTTTAATGCACAATTACACAGTGGTTTAATAAAATATCAAAGCCATACATCATTTGTACATCTTCTTTGAATAGTCTCTTAGAATCTTGATTATTCTTTTATTTCTGTTGTCATCTTGATTGCTTTCAGTATCCTTTTCTTTTCATTTCAATCTTCTTAACCTTCTACTGACAGACATTACACTTTCGACTGATGTTACATACTACTTATATATCTGTAAACATAAGTAATATGCACCTTAGCATGGATTAGTAGCAGTATATCATATTTCACTGATCTTCATGAATATCCAAGAATAAAATTTGTCCAGTAAACACAAAACATTATCTTTTATTAGGAGTAAAAATCATTGTATACATTTTTAACCAACCTTAAATTATGATGAAAAAAAAGGATTAAATAGTTAAAAATTGAGGGAGGTTGATTATGAATACATTGGTCTTGAGTGCTGTTAGAGGTATAAAGGCGGTTATCACTTCCCGGTTGCCCACACCGTGAAAGGGTTCTTCTGGAGGTACCTGAAAAGGAAATTGGATTAGGGGTGGTCTTGATGACCTGAGAGCGTGACCACAGTGCCCAAGGGACAACTGCTTGAGGTCGGTCACACACAACCTTTTTATGAGTAATCTTTGTGTTAGCTCCGTACTTGTTGAGACCTTACCGCCAGAGACGGATATCCGTGGGATAAGGCGAGGTGTACATTTTCAGGGTAGACCTTTTCTAACCCCACCCCTCCTTGTGGGAAGGCAGCATCGCTGTCATGCTGGTTGTCTGAAGGAAACACCTTACTGCTGTCACAACTCTGTACAGTCAGCAGTACGACTTCGCCTTTGGACCTTGGGTTTGTTGCTTTTAGTCTTACCGCTCTTCAACCGACCTGTCTGACATGGTAGGACCTTGAGGAACGGTTGTTCCAGCCAGTATAGCTCGGTTGCTTCATCACGATAGGCAAGCCCGACCACCACGTCAAGGTAGCAACAACGGTCGGGGGATTAAATAGTTGGTGTCAATTGATTCAATAACACAATAAATTGATAAACAGAATTATTCAGATCATGTAGCACCATGATTCAAAATCTTGAGTAGAAGAAAAAATTCTATCAACTGGACTAAAACCTGTAAATGTTACTTTCAATTTAGTCAATATTTTATCACTACGAGTTTTGAACCCTTTCTTATGTGAGTTCATGGGTAATATGTTACTAAGGGAGTGAGTGATCCTTTGTTACAACGAAACATCTGTTTCCAGTTATTTTCCGCTCGTTGTTGCTACAGAATATCACTAAATGATGGTATCATCATCATTTATCTAACACATTGTATCTTATTACTATTGGCCTATAAAAAATATCTATGTTTGTACAGTTAATACTTTCAAGTGAGTCCTTCAAATTTTCCGGTAATTGTCGTTGTTTATTTTCGTTTCTATTTTGCATTAGTGTATGATGACTATGATAACGCAACAAATATTGAAAAGTTGGATCTCGTTTTTTCGGATTATAATTAATTATAATTTTATTGTATAATTACTAAGTATCTAGATTACTGTGTATATATGTTCTATTTGTTGTAATTCAACTCATAAACTACTGTCAAACGATTGATTATTCTTAGAAGAGGGTTTTTGTGGAGATCGCAGTAATCTATTAGTTGAGTTCATGAGTCAATTAAAGTTAGACCACTATGGAAAACCTGGAAGTACTGAACGGTCGTTTCGTCTTAGTATGGGACTGGTGAGTAGTGCGCAGCCACCGAAGATCCTAGGTTCGAATCCTGCGAGCGAGATCGTGAGTGAGCACTATTGAGGAGTACCATACTAGAACGAAACCGCCGTCCAGTGCTTCCAGGTATTCCATGATGGTCTAGCTTCAATTGACTCGTGAACTCAACTATTCTTTTTTTTGCCAGTCTACTATTCACAGTCTCTCCTACTTATAACCAGCCACTTTTTGTTTTACACGAATGATTATTAGTTTTCATTTGTGGTGTCACGTAGTCCGTTATGTCTGTTTAAAAACTACATCTGTTGAAATACAAATGCAGTAGAGGCTGGTTAATGACTTTTGGACTCGAGGCTAGGCATAGAAAGGGTTTTGCGGATAGTAGACTTATAGGAACCAGACTGACATTCCAAGGTCCACAGTGCTGGTCGGGCGTGTAACTGACCAAGTAACAGACACTAAACCGTAGGATTCTAATTTGTAACTGTGCACTTGGCACTGGCCAGCGGGGTCCAAGATATACTAATGGTTGGATCTGTTTATCCAGTGTAGTTGGAAATAATCATAGGTTGATAGTTTAGTTAGTCGTTTCTCGCTACCGAAAAGCGAATCCGACTTCAAATTACAGAAAATTTTAAATTGGTATTAGGCACAGAGGATCTTTCGAAATATCAGTCCATTACGATTCACTATTTTCAAATATATTATCAGTTGATGAGAGCTTGTAGTGTCAGTTACTATATTAAGCCCACATAACTTATTTTAACTTCTGCACAGTCACGTTTTGACCTTGTTAATTATTCACTTATCAACCTTCACTGTCTTATATGAACGTATGTGCGTGTACAATTCTTATCCTATTCATCACATGTCTGTAGCTTATTTTTGTGTGACTATAAACACTGATTAACGCTTGATCAAATCGAGTTGGATTACGTGACTTCTCCTTTGCGCGTTATTTCGTTTCGCTCTCCTTCGCTACGTCTTTCTACTTGTTTGTTCCGATTAGAGATTGTACAAATTATACGTATTCGAAGTGCATCCTCGTACTTTACTTATTTTAATTCCGTTATACACTAACGCGAGTTAAGTTGATAATTATATACAAGAATAGTCAGGATGTATATTTAGATAACAATCATTGATCAGAACAAACGATCAGAGAGACAAAGCGAAGGAAGCTGAGAGAAGAGAGAGAAGTGGAATGACGTACAGTAGAGATTTAACCAAGCCTTAATCAATATTTATAGTCATACAAACTAAGCTACTGATATGTGATGAATAGGATATGAGGTGTACATACACATAAGCCCATAAATAAACAGTCAAGGTCAATAAATGAATAATTAACAAGCTCAAAACGTGACTCAAGAAAAATAGATAAATTGGCCTGTTCAGAAACTAGAACAAGTTATATGGACTTAACATAGTAGCCGATACTACAAACTAGATTAGACCAACATGTAACAGGAATGACTTCAAATCCAATCAATAGAGTAATGATACGATTAGTTCCGTTTGTTCAACTCGATAAGTAGGAGAATTAAACGTGGAAATTTTTCAATAACTATCTCAATTTCACGAAAACTTATTAGGTTAAATGGAACATACACACTTATTACCTGAAAATCTATGTTAAATCATAGAATGGTCAATTTATTTGCTTGATCAAACAGAATATTGTTCTGAAATTCAACAGTATTGAACTATTAAATATGCTAATTATTCCTCATAGCTTGTAGTAACAAAGTAGAAGAATAACGCTTTTATGTTTGTCAATCTATTTATCCATTTAATTAATATTTCATGAATAATACTGGTATTCAATTTAAATATTAAGGAGAGTAGATTGATTGCTAATTAAGTGTTAACTCTGTCAATTTTCATGGTTAGTTACAGGCTACACTTATTTTACATCAGTCGTTTTCTTACCGGATATTTTTTCTAAAGTTGAGATTAACTACTTAATATAGTTAGTTAGTAGTATAATTATCCCAAGCTACTTTTTTGAACACCATTTGGTCAACCAAGTCAAAGTGAAATATAAGTCACTCGTTTCATGCTGTTTAGGACTCCTTAACAGTGAGCACCCACGATCTCTGACGTGTGACTCGAGTCCAGGACCTTCGGTTTCACACGTAAACTCTTAACCTCTAGACTACTGAACCGGAATCCAACGGTGTTAATGTCTAACTTCAATCGATTTATGATCTTGCTCAACCCATCATCCGTTGCCTGAGGTCTATAACTGTCTCCACCCGACACACGCGCTCTTGAGCACGAGATCAGAGTTTTTGGGTTCGAGTCCCACGTAATGGATCGTGGATGCGCAATGCTCACCGGTCTCGTACTAGGACGAAAGGGTTATCCAGTGCATCCAGGTTTTCATTGATGGTCTAGTTTTAATTGACTCATGAATTCAACTATTAACTTTACTACAATCTCCACAAATCCCCATTCAGATATGAATTTATCTGTAAGGGTTTATATTTCATCATAATTAGTGCTAAAGATCAAAGTTGTCCAGTAATTATTCAAACAAAACTTAAAATAAACTTACAATCACATCAAATTTTGCATAAATTTCAATAAGTTGACCATCTTCATCATTGACAACTGGTAGACATGATACTTGATTTTTCAAAAATAGTTTTAAAGCTTCTATAATTGTTGTATTATTTGTAATTGTTTGAACATTTGGTATATATGTGCCTAGTTTAAGTTCATGTAAACTTTTAGATATAAATTTAGCTGGAGGTAAATTATGCCTCTGTGAAAAATAAGAAAAAAAGGAATTATATAGAAAAGCAAACATAAATGAGAATGGTAAACACCAAAGTGTAAACTAAACAGTAGATTAAATAGAAAATGATTTTCATCATGAATTGATATTAGTCAGGAGAGATATACCATTTTTGAAGCGAAATATAGTTCGACAGTTATTCCTTGCCAGTTGAGTTTATTCAACAGTAACAACTAAACAATCTCGTTCAAGGATTGAACTCAGAGAACTTTCCGCTTTCACGGTAAGTTTAGTATTTACAATAAGTTAGGAATAGATTTCCACGAAAACCTTTTACAATAAGCAAAATTATTCAAAGTTCTACTCAATAAGCATTTATGGCACTTTAATTGTTGTCAATACAATGAAAGAGATTTTTTAAAGAATAAGAAATATGAGATAAAATAAAGTTCAGTTTTTACATGAAAATAAAGAATGATTGGATCTCATAGTTACGGACTGACTTTAATTTAAACAACTGTTGAAAACTAGGAAGAAGTGGACAGCTGTTTCATCAGTAATGCAAATCCATGACACCGCTGTTAGGGATCAAACCCATGACCTTCGGTCTCGCGCTCAAATGCTTAACCTATAGACCACCAAGCTGGGATTCAATGGTGTTAATGTCTAATTTAAACTACCCTACGATATTGAGCGACCATCTTCTATAGTCATTTGTGAATACCTTTTTCACACTTGACATGTTTGAGATCATCTGATCACGGCCTCTCACTAGGATTTCAGAACTTTCCTAGTCACAAATGAGGACGTGATAATTGTCAGTATGGGGTTGTTGGAATTATTGAATTTCATTGAAATTACTTATCAATCTAATTCAGACAACCAATAATGTGGACTGATTAGAGTTGAACTTGTAAACCATTTGACCTCAGTTCATTGGTTTAGAGATTAAGCGTTCTCTGGCGGAATCTCAATTCCTGGATTCGGTTACCAGTTGTAAGAACACGGATTTCTACTTCTGAGGAGGAGTCACACATTGGGACAAAATACATGTCCAGTGCGTTCAAACTTTCAATAATGGTTCAAATTAAGTTGGTTTTATAATTAACAATCTTCCAAATCTCATACTTGATAGTAAACAATTTTTATTATTATTATACTAAGTAGTACTAACATTTAAATGCAAATACTTTAATATTCGTTTATGGGTTAAAATATGTAATGCATTGCCATGTAATGTATCAATAATAGGTAAACGATGAAAACGATATTGTAATAACATTTTTGATGCATCCAATAATGAACATTCAGGTGTAACATGAACTAATGGGATTGTAGTGAAATTTGTATTGATTTCTGTAAAAAAAGAAAGTAAAAAGAAATTGTAATTAATGTTATGATTAGTTTAAGCGGTAAGTCAGTCAGTCAGCTACAACGTAGGACCAGGTACATATATGCATCGGTCCAAGTTGCCACACCTCATTAACACAGCAAGATGAACACAGGATTCGTAAAAGTAGTTAATTCAGAAGTGGTAATATATAAAAGAAAGATTGCATATAGGACATAGTACGGGAAGAAAGAATTAGTTAGTGGAAAGAAAGATATGAGGCGATTTTAATCTCTTACTTTAAGGGAAGACAGAGAGTGTATACACCGACGCCATTGTGATCGATTCTGAGCGATGTCACCAAGAGTCTTCAACCATTGGTTATGATAGTCATGCGGACCCCAACCGAGTAGTCTGCATCTCCCAAGATGGCTCAGACTAGAAGTTAGTGACTTCAAGCATTGATGCCACGTTTTGGTTTGGCTGCCCCTAACTTTCTCCCAACAGTAAGTGGCGATTATTTAATCCTTTGGTAAACTTATCAGTATACACACTTCTGATGAATCTTACGATAAGACGAAACAACTATCTAGTATTGCTTGGTTTCAATATTTATCTTAACCGTAAACTATCTTCAAAGCTGAAACGTTTGCAAAGACTTCCTTGCTATTTTATTTTTGATATATACTTCTCACAAAAACTCAATTGTTACTAGAGTTATCCTTAGTTATCTGATATGACCAAGTTCAGTGTAGCGTAGCCGTGGTATTTTCACAGCTGAATTAATGAGTCAATCTAACCTAGTCCATCCTTGAAAACCTGGATGCACTGGATGACCGTTTCGTTCTAGTATGGGACTGGTGAACAGTGCACATCCACGTGTGATTCGAACCCAAGACCTTCGGTCTCGCACGTAACTCTTAACCTGTAGATCACTGAGCCTCATGCAATAGTGTTAATGTCTAACTTCAATCGATTCATGATCTTGCTCAACCCCTTCGCTCATTTTCTGAGGTAGATAACTGTCTCTACACGACACACGCGCTCTAGCGCAAGAGACTGAAGGTTCTGGGTTCGGTTCTCACGTAATGGATCATGTATGCACACTGCTCATCGGTCCTATACTATAACGAAACGGTTGTCCTGTGCAGACAGGTTTTCATTGATGATCTAGCTTTAATTGACTTTTGAATTCAACTATGATAATTTTTATTCATTTACATAACTGTATATCTCTTTTTTCCCAATTAGGAAAATATCAACCAATTAGAAAGAAGATGATGAAATAATGATGCTGTTTTGTTTTATTGCTCATTAGATCTATTGTAATAATTGAATGGATATCTACATAATGTAGATCGAATCTTAGAGATGGGAACAGAAAAAGTACTTTACCAATAATATGATAGTTACTATTCAGTCAATATCAAGTTTCAATGATAAGGAATTTATGAATATCGTCAGTTTCTGGGAGATCATCATTTATCTAATCGATCAATCGATAGATTAGTTTGAGTGTAATCATAATCAGTTGCGAGTATATATGTATATATACTCAGAGAGAAACGGATAGATAGATAGACACACAAATGCTTGATAAATAGATATACAGACAGACAGATAGAGTTATGAAAGTTTCATTAACTACAGCCTGGTCTATTTTACCATACTCATAACTAAACGGGTTGTGTAAATTTTAAAGTTTACTTTGTCTTCCACCATGGTGAAACTATATTTTGTTATATTGATCAAAATGTTACAAAAAAGAGTGAGTGTAAGTGTCCCATTGAGCAGCGATAAACAGAAACTTAAAAAGTGATAAATTTTAAAACCAGATAGTTTTCCCTTTTAGGTAATGAAATGTTCGGTTGTTGAAAATGGAGAAATATGTAGTAGTAGTAGTAGTAGTAGATAGAGAAAGTAGTGTTGGTGTTAACTAGGGAAGAGAAAATCAGGAGTACAGTATTACTTATGAATTACATAAGCATGACAATCATTTTAGGCTAAAGATAAACGATATATAACTAATAGGAAGTGAGCATTGTAATAGGTATGTTTGTAGACTGACGAAAAATAATTTGTGACTACCATCATAACTAAGGTCAGTTAGTGATGTAAATCTATAAAACTGAACAATCTTTACTAGCCCCCACTAATAATAATTTCATATTTAATAGTTGAGATCATGAGTCAATTGAAGCTAGACCACCATGATAAACCTGGAAGCACTGGACGGCCATTTCGTCCTACCATGGACTTCACCGGATCACACCACGCAAAACCAAATCGAACATATTTGCATCAACAAAACGTTCAGGAGGACTATAGAGGACGTGAGAACCAAGAGAGGAGCTGATATACCATCAGATCATCACTTACTGGTCGCTAAGATGAAATTGAAAATCAAGAAGCACTGGACAACGGGGCGGACAGTATCACAAAAGTCCAATACGGCCTTTCTTCAGGATACTGACAAACTCAACAAATTCAAGATAGTCCTCAACAATAAGTTCCAGGCCTTTCATGATCTACTCAATAGAGAGCAGCTGGAAGGGGATCAAAGAGGCAATCACTTCAACATATCATGAGGTCCTGGGCCACAAGAAGCACCATCACAAGGAATGGATCACTGTTGATACATTGGATAAGATTCAAGAAAGGAGAAACAAGAAAGCAGCAATCAATACCAGTCGAACAAGAGCAGAAAAAGCCAAGGCACAAGCTGAATACACAGAAGTAAACAAACAAGTGAAGCGGAGCATCAGTTGTCTACGCAAAATACTTCGGATCCGTCGGCCGGACACTATTAGCAACAACTTACTGTGGGCGAGAACAAACCAGATCCCAGCGGAGGAAGAAATCAGGAAGCGCTGGAAGTGGATAGAACACACATTGAGGAAAGCACCCAACTGTGTCGCGAGGCAAGCCCTCACATGCAGTCCTCAAGACCAAAGGTAAAGAGGAAGACCAAAGAACACATTACGCCGAGAAATGGAAATAGATAAGAGAAAAATGAACAAGAATTGGATGGAACTAGGAAAGAAGGCCCAGGACAGAGTGGGTTGGAGAATGCTGGTCGGCGGTCTATGCTCCATTAGGAGTAACTGGCGTAAGTAAGTAATGGGTCTCCTCAACAGTACGCATCCACGATCCCGCCCTGCAGAATTCTAACCTATCGGTCTCGTACGCGAGAGCTTAACTACTAGACCACTTCTGAGGATTCCCATAACAAGACGAAATTGCCGTCCAGTGCCTTCAGGTTTTTCATGGTGGTCTAGCTTCGATGGACTCATGATCTTAACTTTTGAAATGACTATAATATCCATAAAACTCTCTCTGCTGATAATAATTTCATATTTATTTATTGATAAAAACAAAAACTAAGAATAGTGCCAAATGTCATTTCCATTTCTTTATATGAGGTTGTTCCCGTGATATTTGAGTCTTTCAGTAAGGATCATACCATTGATTTAATGATTTATAGATCGAATAATTCATGTTTCTTAATTTCAGTTAACTTTCAGTAATAATTTAATAATCCAATAGTTTAATGTTTTAACTATCAGTTGAAGACATGAAGTTCTCGCATTAAACCGCTTTTTGAGAGAAAATGTTTATGAATTGTTCTACAGTCATATAACGGCGGGACAAAATAGTTGTTCAATGAACCTTCGTTATCAGGAGTACCTCAAATGAGATCAATCTGTAATGAATATAGATTTACTATAAAAGTTTGTTTTAAAATTTATATCACATAATGGTATTTATGTAAAATCCATCATTGTGCTCAATTAATTACAAATTTGATTTATATATTATTATATTCACTTAAGATGAAACACAATTCGATTGATTAATGTTATTTAAAACTCCTCCTGGAGCCCCATTCGGGCTACTGCCGGTCCCAAGCCCGGATAACTGAAAACATCTATCACGTCAATCTATTCTATATAGTGATAAGTTAAAATCACTTCACATTAATTAAACGGTAGTTGCTTTGGGTTATTTGTAGTAATGAGTTTACCACTAATGAAAACCTGGAAGCAATGGACGATTGTTTCGTTTTAGTATGAGATGGATGAACAGTGTGCATACACAATCCCTCACGTGTGACTTGAATCCAAGACCTTCTTTCTCGTACGCGAACTCTTAACCTCTAGACCATTGAGCCAGCATCCAACGGTGTTAGTGTTTAACTTCAACTAATCCACGATATTTCGTGACTGTCTACCATTGTCTTTAGTGAGTAACTGAGTGTCAGTCAGTCAGCTACAACGTAGGACCAGGTACATATATGCATCGGTCCCAGTTGCCATACCTCATTAACACAACAAGATGGACACAGGATTCATAAAAGTAGTTAATTCAGAAGTGGTAATATATAAAAGAAAGATTGCATATAGGGACATAGTACGGGAAGAAAGAATTAGTTAGTGGAAAGAAAGATATGAGGCGATTTTAATCTCTTAGTTTAAGGGAAGACAGAGAGTGTATACACCGACGCCATTGTGATCGATTCTGAGCGATGTCACCAAGAGTCTCCAACCATTGGTTATGATAGTCAGGCGGACCCCAACCGAGTAGTCTGCATCTCCCAAGATGGCTCAGACCAGATGTTAGTGACTTCAAGCATTGATGCCACGTTTTGGTTTGGCCGCTCCTAACATTCTTACAACCATCTCCAACACTGGTTAGCATTGCACGTCGTGGTAATCGGTGTCCAGTAATTGAGTGTACTACGTATTCATTGTAAACTCAATGCAGACTTATGAAATCTATTTCAATATTAATTTTTCGAATGGATAATAACTGATGATGGATCGTGCTTCATATTTTTGGTAATTGTTTGAAATTGATAAGGAAGTTATAACTTGTGTTTCATCATGCTTGATATCACAGTAATGACTTGAAATAAATGCTGATTTGTGTTACTAGGTCAATTGTTTACTATGATTAAACAAATAACTACTACCTACTACTTATTATTTCAGGAAACGGATACTCCTATCCCGATGCAAAGAAGATA